AACGGATGTGGATGCACGGAGGCCATCAAAATGATTCAACCTGTTGACACAGTTGACACATTGAAAATTCCGCAGGGGGTTGGCCCGGGCTGGCTGGATCACGGCAGTTGCAGAAGTTGAAGATCCAGATTCGCCAGGTCATTTAGGAAGGAGGCAGATAACGATGCTGTGGATCTGCCCAGCATCGTGGTTGGGTGAGGGAGATGAAACGGTGACGTTCAGGATCTTGGAACATGTTTTTGTCGACATTTTTTTGGAAAATAACATTGGAGGTTTCTGATTTTGATTGTGTCCGTGATTTTATCATGAGTCGGTGGTGATGATGATGGGGAGGATCAAGATGATATGATGGATCACTGTGGATTTCTTCTTTTTGATGGATGTTTTTGCGCGCAAACTGGTTGAAAGCCATGAGAAACCCCGGGTTCCAGCTGGAAAGATTCTGAGCTTTATAGAGGTTTCCTCATCGTTGGTTTATATGATTTTTACTGTAATAGGGGGAATCATTCTAAACATGGCGGATTTCCAGTTTGACACTTACTATCTTTGCCCAGATGAATCATCAACAGAAACACAAGACTAGACTTAACTTACATATATATATATATATATATTATTATATTATATTATATTATATATACTATACAGACTAGACATGAACATATAGAATCCATTGAATCCATTGATCCAGGCCTGGCCCGAAAACACGAGCACCAGCAAGGTGGGGTGATGGCCGATGGCATTTTTGTCAAAGTCATGTCATGTCATGCAACAATCAACCACCCATTTATTTAAATAAATACATGGTAAAATTAGGGATGGTTTACTATATATATTATATATATTATTATATATTGCTTATCTACTAACATTCAGATGTTATATAACATATCACAACCCCACCCTGTTCCTGGATTTCGCTCCTTCAAGGCTCGTTCCGAGGGCTGTGAAGCTGCTCCCAGCACACCACGGCGAGAACGAGCTGCTTGGTGAAGTGAGACGGCATGTAACCCATTGACCCAAATTTGCCCGACATGGGTGGCTAATAGTATGGTTGAATGGATTGTTTCCTCAAACAACGTTGCGAAATATTCGTACTCTACAAGTCACCGAATTGAGCCCAAGATTGGATCGGCAGCTTGTCACAGAATCGGTGAATCCATTCAGAATTGTGAAGTGAACCGACCAATTCCAAAGAAACTAATAACTTATTGGTGAACTGCTTTGACGATAAGCCTCCAACTGGGAAAGAAGAAACAATAAGCATGGGGAATTGTCAAAACCGAAATAGCAACACTTTTTTGGTCCATCGCACGACGATTTCGTTACGCCGCTGTGTTCTTGGTTCATGCCACTTTCGTGGAATCTTCCGCTAGGTTGGCATGGGCACTAATAGCCTCATCGCTTTGGAGGCGTGCAGGGAACTTTGAAGAGGTGGATCAAATCCACTCATCCATGACGCAGTTTGGAGAAACTGTCAGTTGTTCTTTGCTGGATGTTATTGCTAAATGGGTGTGGGTTCAAACTGGCTTCCCGCCAAAACTTTGCTAGTGACAAATTGCCGATGGACAAGTCGCAGGACGCACTGAAACTGCCGGTCTTCCAACATGGCACTGAAAAATATCTCCATTAATCATTAAAACTCACTCGTGACTTGTGAATGATTTTACTGCCAACAACATGGACTGTCCAGCCACCTTAGATTTGGATCGGGACATCAGAAATCATCAGAATCACTTCCTATAAATCCCCCTTTTTCAGAGTGACAGATATGGGCAGCGCTCAAAGTTATCCCCCTTAACGGCTGGAGCTCTCTAGGAAGCTGAGACCGCCTTAGCCACACCGGGCGATGGACCAGGTGGCTGGGGCTGGGGTGGTGTTGTGAGCCAAGGAAAAGAGGGGGGGCTACAACTTGGGAATCGGAAAATGGAGGATTGAGCCAACCAAAATCGGGATCTAAGAATCTCAGCAGTCAAATTAGGATTCAAACATCAGGATAAAGTTTTTTTTTTAGCAGCCCAAGTGGAGGTTGATTCAACATGATTCAACCAACAACGGGGGTTCCAACGAATCAGGCTGGGAAGGTGCTCCTGAAACGCCACGGCGAGAACGAGCTGCTTGGCAACAAAAAGGTGCCGTAGGAGATGACCGTAGGGGGATCGAAACAGCAGGAATATACAGTAATTGTTTGCTCATGGGGACTTTGCGGCATGTTTCAGATGATGTTCCTGTTTTGCTGCGGGATTGTTGTGGTGCACATGCAGTTTTCGGAGTCTAGTCAGCCAATAGAACCTGGAGATGTAGGCACCAACAACGATGGTATGTATGGACAACAGAAGTGGGGAATTCACAATAACAATCCGTATGAAGTTCTACCAAAGGTGAATGCCCCCAACAAGCATTTTTTTGAACATGTCGCAGTCATTTCTCTTCAGTCTATTGAAGTCTTGGGTTCCTGGTTTAGTGCATGATGTGTCTCACCCCAGGTTGGAATGGGCACCAATACCCTCGTAGCATTGGAGGCCGGGGTGCGTTTGGTGGGAGTTGGTGTGGCCTGGGATGATCAGATCACTAGAGCACCAAACCTCGCTTTCTGGAGATGTTGATTCTTAGGGGGGAAGTTATTGTGTGTACAGTACAGTACAGTACAGTACAGATCATATCGCATCACATCATATCATATCATATCATATCACATCATATCACATATATATATATATACACATATAAATATATGTACATATATACATATGTATATATATATATATATACACATCTATATTATGTATACACATGTATGCACATATAGGTCAACACATGCGTGATTACCGCACCAGTGCCATATCTCAGCAGGAAGCCGACAACTCTGAAGGCCAAGGTGGTTCCAGGGGCCGAGGTGTGATGGATGACAAACGACTGAGGGAAATCCTAGGGTATCAAATGATTCCCGAATTTATACCATACCAGGATATCATTGGCTATAAGGTAGTAATCCTGGATATATTATCAAATGATACCTGGAAATGGGTTATCAAATGATTTGTAACCAGGGTAATAAGGTAATTTATACCCGAATGATAGTGGGGTTTCCATACTGGGAAATCCTGGGTAATTTACTGTATAACCAACCGAAGTGGGGTTTCAACCTACCCACATAGAGATCAAACCACTGAGCATGGGATTTTAATCAAGACAAACAGGGATTCAACCAGCCCAAAGATCGATTTATGCAGTAACACATGCAAGATCTGAGTATGATACGGGTCACAATGAAGGATGTTCTGATATGGGATGGTTTGCCACAAAATATGGCCAGTCCATCTTTGGGTTTTCAGTGGTTTAGCTTCCGACAGGCTTCTTTATCAGGATGTATGCCGTCTTTAGCCCAAACACTTTCTTCCAGGGTGGTTAGAAGAAGAACCTCTTGAGTTATGAAGTGAAGAGGATCAAATTCAATGCCGACTGTTCCAAAGATTTCGTGAAAGTGCAACATTTTTGTGGTGATCACAACAGGGAGAAAACTGCTGACGAAGACTGTATCAAGAAGACTCAATCTTGATGATCTTCCTCAATTTCATGTAGCAGTGGGTCAAAATTGAAGATCCACAAAAGCTGAAACGCTTGATGAGTTTGACGATTCGTCATCCGATTTATTGTAGAGGTTTACCCAATGTTGACCCATCTCCATGTGCTATCCCGTGAAATCCCACATGACTTGGCTGAATCCATGAGACAAATCCTGCAGCATCGCCAGGGGTGACCTGCGTGGCGGCCACCCGGACATTGGCCCCTTGCTGAAGTTGTGGGGACACGGGAGAGCCCAAGGTGCCATGGACATGTTCAGCTACCCGGCGTCAGTGACGATCACACTGTACATATGGTATAAGACCAAGCATAAGTGGGGATCAATGGGAGATTGTTAGGAAACTAATGGGACGTATTTCATGGGATATATAAGATATATCATGATATATCATAAATCATACGACTGTGATATTTTGGGATGTCTCAAAATGGGCTATACTCCCCAGCCATAGGACAAATGATTAGTAACCAGTGGATGGCATGGGGTATCCTATTTTCAGATGGGGGAATCAAGGGGGTGAATTCTCTGCATTTGAAGCTTGGGGACATCGAAACCACAGGTTGTTTCGCGGGAAAAAGATGGTTTATCAGGCTTCGTGGCTCAAAGCAGTGATGAGATTGCAGCTGGTGATCCTTGCAGATTGCTTCATGCCGGAACAGCAACATGCTCGCCTTGTTCCGCAAGAGTTCTGTGGAGGCATATCCTCAATGGAATACTCTATGTTTGGCTCGCTCTGGCTTTGTGACTCTCAGCGGTTCGCAATTCAAGCACTTATGGGCTGATGTGGGGACCACGGCCAGTGCCTACAACGGGCATCCTTTGTCAAACCTGAACCCAACGAGGAGAGGCGCATTGTTTCAAGAGTGGGCTCGTGAGATGTTGCAAAGGACACATCCCAATTCCTGGATCGCAGATGCTGTGCCCGGCACTTGTGTCAATGGTAGGCAGAGAAGCAGAAATCAGGCCGAATATGATTTCATGATGAACCAGCAGAGGGTTGAGATAAAAGGCGGGCAATTGCATTTGGACAAGAAGAGTGACAAGTGGGGATTTCTTTTCAGTTCAGTGAAGTTCCCACACTTGACGCCGCATACTCAGGCGGCAAGTTTTGATCATTTGTACCTC